CTGTATAAGTCCTGGATGGAGGGAAGGTCAGCCCTGATTATTCTCTCTGCAGTCCTGATTATTCGTTGCAGTCTGGACCTGTCCTGTTTTGTGGATGAACCAAACCACACTGAGATGGATGAAGACAGGACAGACTGTATGATGGCATTGTAGAAGATGACCAGCAGCTCCTGTGGAAGGTTGTACTTCTTGAGTTGCCTCAGGAAGTACAGTCTCTGCTGGGCCTTCTTTCGAACAGTGTCAGTGGATGGTTTGAAGCAGGAGGGGACCTCACACTTCTCCAGTGACTTGTTGAAGATCCGGGTGAAGATCCGGGCGAGTTGGTGTGCACAGGCTTTCAGGCATGATGGGGAGATGTTATCAGGTCCTCCAGCTTTCTTTGTTTTCATGCGCTGAAAGAGCCTATTTACATCTTCCTCAGAGATCTTTAGTGCAGGCAGAGGATCTGAAGGTAGGGGGTTGGTTGCTTTACTGGTCGAACTTGTTCCTGAATGGGATGTGGAGGAGTTGGTTTGAGGTGTGAATGGCTTCTTGTCATGTCTGCAGTAGAAGCCATTCGACGGTTAGCCAGGCGAGGACTTTGTTTGGGAAGGGTGGTGGGGCTTCTGTAGGCAGTCAGGTTTTGGCCGGCTACTCAGGTACTGGCGCCGGGCTGTCATTAATCAGATTAGTAGCTGGCTTCGGAGTGGATATAGCCTCCTGCAACAAGGAAGTAGCCACCGCTGGGTGTGCAAGAGTCTTAATTTTGCCACTGATACCGCGCCATAGAATTTCCCATTTGGTTTTAAGTCTGGACTTTGATTGGGCAATTTTAATACATGAATTTGGTTTGATCTAAACTATTTCATAGTTGCTGTGGTTGTATGTTTAGGGTTGCTGTCCTGCTGGGAGATCAACCTTTGTCCCAGTTTGAAGTTATTTGGAGTGTCTATAGGATTTTATGGATTTAACACCACCTATCTGTCCATCAACTCCGACCATCCTTTCTGTCCCTGCTGAAGAATAGCATCCCACAGGATGATGCCAGCCCCACCATGCTTTCTGGTGGGAATGGCTTTGTTTCAACAATGGTTTTTCTTCTTTTGGTAGGTTTACAGGTGTACCATATGCTTTCCCTCTTTAAATGTTGGATTGAACAGTGTTCTTTGAAGTTGTTAGAATTTGGGGTATTGTTTTAAGACCTACTCGGAACGTTTTCACAGATTTATCGCAGACCTGTCTTCAGTGTTCCTTGGTCTCCACAAAGATGGCTGTGTTTATACTGAGATTAAATTGCACACATTTGGACTCCTTTAAAACACAGATGACTCCTGAAAGCAGTTTGTTTTATTGGACTTTATTTAGGGGTATCAGAGTAAAAGAGGTTGATTAAAAACGCAAGCAACACTTTTAAGATTTATATTTGTAGAAACTTTTTAAAAACCATATATCCTTTTCCTTATGCTTCAGTTATGATTTAATGGTCTATCAAATTAATTCATGTTCTTAACACTTTAGTTACCTTTGAAAGGCACTGTACACTTTAGCATTAAAGCACAGACATATCAACCTAGGCACTCACTCACAAACCTGAAGATGTATCTACACAAAATGCTTAACAGGCCACCCAGAAGTGACAAAGAACACAAGGCCAACTACAACAACCTCCAAACAAGTAAAAAAATGCATTATTAGTGTGGTGCGTGCTAGTGTCCTCTACGCAACTGGTAATTATCACCACTGAGTCATCCATCAAATGTATCTGCAGTGATGTTATAAGCCATTTTATGGTCAGGCTAAACGATAATGTTTGTTGTCAGCACAAGTAGCAAGCAAATCAGAGGCAAAAACTATCAGTGTTAAATTACACAGGGGTGCTTGCAGCAGGGATCATTTGTCAGTTAACATGCAGATCAACGATGCAGAGCATGTACCATCCCCTTACTGAGAGGAGACATGCTGTAATTATCCAAGCTAGTGTTGGCGATAAAAGTTGGTTTGGAAATTAAAAGATTTCACTTAGCTCTGTTATGAAATATGCATCAATTTCTATTCATCCATTGCATGCATTACAAGGTAAAATAATTATTTCAACTTATTTTTAATCATCAAGATGCACAGAGAAATCGGCTGGTTTTTACACTTGACCGGCCCTAACTGGTGAGTAGTCACCCTTACTGTTTAGACGAGGGGCATCCATGTCTTATTCCTCTTTTGAACCTAAAATCTTGGGCTTGTGCTGTGGTTTGGAGAGACAGAGCTGTATAGTATTCCCACAACATTGAGGAACCTTTGTCCAAAGCCAATATAGGGTATGGTTTGCATTATAAAAAGGGGGCTCAACACAATCAGAAGCTTTATAAAAGCCTAAGAATAACATAAAACCCCCTTCATTAAATGAGTCACTATAGTGAAGCCGATCTAACACAAGTTGGATATTGTTGGGTATTGATCGACCTTTTAAAAAAACAGATTGTTTTTACCTAATTATTGTTAAGATCACTTCTTTTAATCGTGCAGCAATAACACCAGAGAGACTTTTTTATGGTATGTGTTTAACAGGTTTAACAGGTCTTAAGTTGTTAATTATTTGTTTATCTCTTCTGGATTTGGGGATTAAGATAATTAAACCTTCTTTCATGCTAGGAGTCAACTCTTTTCTCTCTATACATACATCTATAGCCCTAAGTAGAAGATCTTTATCTTTCTAGATAAATCGATAAAAATTGGTTGTAAGACCCTCAGTGCCTGGTGATTTATTTAATGGCACTTTGGAAACCACTGTCTCTAATTCCCCAGGGTTGAAGTGTGAATCACATACATTTTTAAATGACTCTTCAATTTGTGGACTTTTACTTTGGATTTGCTCAAGGAGCTCAAGGATTAGAATTGTCTCTGAGAAGTCAGCGGAATATAACTAAAGATTTATTTTCCTATAATCTAACTGTCATTGCATCCCTCATCCTTAATCAGTAAGTTAGTTACAGAGTTATTTTGCTGTCTACTTTTTCTGAGCAGCTAAAATACAAAGAGTTCTTTTCTCTGGCTTCAATCCTTTTACTCTCGACCTGACATAAGCACCTTGTGCTCTTTGCAAAAATAGAGCATCTATTTTGGCTTGTAATTCCATTAATGTTTGACTTTTTGAATCGGAAGAGTTACAACTTTGACTACTTTCTCTGAAAAAATCACATTGATGTTGTTTTTTCTTCTTCCTTGGCAGACATATATAGTGTCTAATCTTGTATTAATAATATCCTTTATGTCTCTTTGTCTTTATACTAGGTCCTACTTAAAACTACTAAGGAATGATCACTGTGATTTGGCGACCATCTCTATACCCATAAGGACCGAAAAAATAAGCCACTCTTCCCGCTTTCCTGGCTTGATCAGTAAGTGGCCCGGTCCTCTTTGGGTAGCACTTCAGCAAATTTAATGCCTACCTCTTTGCAGTAAGTGGAATATTTTGTTTTCCTCCAGATTTATTTCTTTCTTTCTCCACTGCTTTGGCTAGGCTAGCGAGTATAGCACTGCTATGTGTCACCTGTTTACTTTTACTAAATACTTCAGTTTGCCTTAGTACTATGTATTAAGGGATTCATGTGAACAGTATGGAGACCCAATCCTGCCATAATTAGGAATATATACAGAAATAAATAAATGCTCAATAAATAAATAAGCATACAAATCAATGCACAAAAAATGCAGTAAATAAATAAATGTAGTTAGTAATTAAATTATTCAATGAGACATAAATCAATACATCTAATTTAATTTGCTTCTTTATTTATTCACCTTTGTAATAATTATCTTATTTATTTATTATCCATTACACATTTCTACTTTATTTATTAATGACTTATGTTTAAATGTACTTATTTATGTGGATGTTTTAATATATTTTTTTTTTTCTTTGTAGCCTATTTTTTTACTCTATTTGTTCAATGCTATTTATTTATGCTGGGCTTTGAACATTTTCGTATGCATTTCTGGCTCATTTTGCAAATGAGGAGGAGCTGTGTCTTCAGGCGTCAGCTTCTCCCTATTGGTTGGTTAGCATTAGCCTGCATAGCTCGAATCTGCATAGCTTTTCCCCACAAACGAGCATTTAGCAATGGTGATCTCGGCAGACAGACATTTGGTGTCCGACCTCCTAACAGCATTCTAATTCCCCCAGTCTATTAGCAGCTTCAGAAATGTAAAGAGCACAGGCATAAATAAATAGCATTGAACAAATACGTGGAGTAAAAAAATACTAAGGCAAAATCAAACAGACAGAAAATATTAGAACAAACACATAAATGGCCTTCACTTGTATAGCGCTTCATCAAGTCCCAAGAGACCCCAAAGCGCTTTACACTACAATCAGTCATCCAACTATTCATACACTGACAGAGGCAGACTGCATTGACAGAAGTGAGGCTGCCATACACAGGTGCCACCGAGCCCTCTTACCACCATCAGCAGGCAAGGGGGGTGAAGTATCTTGCCCAAGGACACAATGACTGAGAGAGACAGAGTAGAGGTTCAAACCAGCAACTCACCGGTTACAGGACAAACCTCTACCAGTGTTGCCTCCGTCGCCCAGGATATACAGTTATTCACATTTAATTACTGCCCAAATTTATTTATTTACTGCATTTTTTGTGTATTTAATTGTATGCTTATTTATTTACTTATCATTTATTTCAGTATCTATTCTGAATTATGGCAGGATCGGCCATCCATACTCGGACCTGCTTTCAAAATAAAACCGTAACTCAATGACGGACTTCTTTCTCAATCTAACCAGAGCAAACATATTTAAGAACTTCAATGTTGAAATAGCGTCTTTAACATTAATATAAAATTTTTTCAAAAATAAAAGCTTGAATTTAATTACTATAAAAATATTGGCATTAAATAAAATTACATAATTTCATTTTAGACTGAAAGGAAGAGGTCAAAGTAATTTACAACAATGTATGGACTTTGATGGAAACACGAACATTTGATGGGGGGAAAAAAAAATTAAAAGTTTCTCCTTCGAGCCGGAGTCGAACCAGCGACCTAAGGATTACCGTTTACACACTACAGTCCTCCGCTCTACCAACTGAGCTATCGAAGGGAGATGACGGCCATCTGACATCCGGGCTATTTCGGGCTAAATAAGTACCTTTCAGCTCTCGTATGCTGACTCGCCTTCCACGCCGCTAGCATAAATTAGCATAAACTAGTTCATTGTTTAAATAAAAATGTACGTGAGTCCCGCGGGAAGCTAACATAACTTCCTCATGGCTTACTGCCAGGGAAGTCTACGAATGCACACAAGGCGTTCTGGAATGCGATATATCGGATGTCATAATAGATATGTAGTGATATACACACGTACTCTTTTCAGATGGGGAATTAGCTGAAAAGGTAGAGCGCTAGCTCATATCGAGCCCCCTCCCCGCACAAGGGAAAATGACGCAAAATGCACAAAAAGGTGCGAGTTTTCACGGAGTAGTGAACAGAGGATTATGGGGAGGCATTTTAGCATATTGTAGTACATAGATTTTAGAGAATGTATTTAACGGAAGGTGGTCGCGAACCCGGAAACCTTGATTTAATCTGCGTCGTTCTTAAGCCAGTTTGCATAGTCTCTTACAGGGAAGCAAATTCTTTCATCCATACATTAAAATTATGTCAAACTTTGTTTTTGGATTGTTTAACACAATTGCACTGACTTGGCAAACTTTGTACCAAAACCTTTACAATTATGTTTATATATTATAGTTAATATGTGTGGTTATATGTACCAGGGCAAGTGAAGTTCAAATACTGTAAAATGCCCCTTTTTAAATGAGATAGAATATTATTGTTTAGTCTACTAGAGGTATACGTAAATAAAGTCAAATAATTTTTGGATGATGATAAAAAAGGTAAATGTACATCACATCTACATGGTAAATGCAAACTTATTTTGACTATTTAAGCCTACTACCTCTCATTAATGTAACAATAGTGTACCTGCACTAATATTAGCCTTTGAGATTGAGATTGCCAGACAAAAGAGCTAGTAGTAATACAATCACCACTTAGCTGAGAACCCAGCGCCTGCTTGATGCCTCCCTGCCTGAACCTCAGCAGGAGCTTGTGTTCAAAGGACAAAGCTAGCTGCATTTATCAGTTGGCCTGTCCTCAGTTAAGTAAAAATTAAACACTCCAATCCAAGGCACTTAAAAGCAGCACAGTGAATCAGAATCTATGAACAGCATTTGTTCACAAAAACAGAGCATCACACACAACACACTTCCATTTATCAACAACTAATAATATAATAGAAATAATACTGTATTATAATATATCAGTAATAATATAATAGCAGTATTCAGTAATATAAAGAAAAAAGACACAGGGGCAGTGGGTGCAGGAGCCACTTGTTTGGCAGGCTTAAAACGGAGTTTGGAAAAGTGGTCAGGGAATCTCTGAGGGTGACACAGCACAAGCTGCCATCAAATCGAAACAGGGTTAAGTAAAATAAACTGGTGTGGTGGCAACAGAGCTGGGAGGGGAAGAGGAGGAGTGGCGCGATGGGACGCACAGACCGACCTTGGCCCACAGGATCGTATGCCATCTTGGAGCAGATTAGGAGATGTCGCTCTGTCATTTTGGGGGAAGCACCCAAACTCATTTGGGAGCCTGATGGGAGGGAGATTGCCATCAAAGCCTCTTCTAAGCAGTAGGCTGTGAAGCTGTGATGCTGGCCACAGCGATGCCACTTCACGCGCAACGGCCCGGGTAAAAGGACACCTAACTCCTAGGTGCTCGAATAAACCTGCAATCAGAAAATTCTCATTATTATATTTTACTGCAATATTTTCTTTTGAATATCTATGTAAAAAACTGTGCTTACCACTGTGTACAAGTCCTCTGATTCAGGACAAAAAGCTGAAGAGAGGTGGCCTCCATCAGGGTGTGGCAGTTCAGCACCATGTCTCAGATGTGGAGGTAGTCGGTAAGCACTTTTGTCCACCGATGAAGCCGGATTCCATCCTTCTTATTTGGGAGACTTTCTGCAGTTGCGACAGCAGGCTTGATCGCACATTAGGGATGCCTAAACTAAGCGACTGCTCGCGTGAGCCACTGACGAGGCCACCCTGGATGGACCCAATCAGACGCCCTCTTAAGACTTTCCACACCCGGTGTCACTCCTGTGTTTTTAGGGGCCTTAAGCGACCGTGGGCCAACTTGGGTCGGTGTCTGGGCTGATAATTGATCTTCCTCTTGTCCCCATCAGGAAGAGTAGTCCGCAGTCGGATGACCTCTGTGACCTGCTGCTCATCCAGGTAGAGTGCCTGACGGAGGGACGCCGTGTACCCAACCAAATCCTTCACTTTATCATAGCCAGGGATGCCATCAGGTCCAAGAATTGGAGCCTGCAAGAAAGTATTAAAATACGAAACACAGCATGTAAAATCTCAGGGTGTTAAAGCAAATATACTGTATGAGTAATGTGGCACTGCAGCTAATGAGTAGTCTACTCACAGGGGCCTGGTCTGCAACACTGCACCCAGCTGATATTGCAGGACCAGAGGCTCCACTTGGCTCAGCAGGGCGATGCAGAGGAGGCTGGGAAGGGTGCCGATATGGAGGCAGTCCTTGGCTGGATGTGGAAGGCTGTGGTGATGATGGTGCAGAGGAAGAGGGGTTGGAAGCCTAGGGGATGCTGCTGTGCATTGAGACAGTACTTTCTACTCAATTTTTGAATTGAATGAAGTTTAAAAGTATTTTAAATAGTGGTTTCATTTAAACATATTTATTGTCATAGTGACCTGTTTATGGGAAACAGAAGAATAATCTAAGGTTGCAGAGAAGTATTTGATTTGATTTGATAACAACCATTATTTATTATGAAAAATTAAAAATCTTCATTAAAATACAACACATTTAAATCTTTAAAGTCTACTACTAATGTGTTGCTTCTGTATCTGTACTTTTACTTAAATAAGAAAATCGAGTACTCGTTTTACCGCTACATATCAGTGTTGAAGGTTTGTTGAAAGACATCGCCATAAGAAAACCATCGCTGCATTTCAAGATACACCTTTATAATAGTTTTTTCTTTTGTTAGAGATTTGTCAGCACATCTGAGGTAACATTAATTCTTGCCTGTGTATGGCCCAGGAGGTCGGTAGCGCTCGTCCAAGGGTCTCTTCAGGATCTTGTGGCTGAGTCGGTCTATTGCCTCCCTCTCAGCGCTGCTGTAGGTCCTCAGCTCAGTTTCCTCTCACTGCCTCCTGCATCTGGTCCTGGTTTCAGCTCTTCAGACCTTCCAGGAGGTAAGCCTGGAAGTGAGCGTCACTGGCACTGGTCCCTGCAGGTTAAACAAAGAAAATGACATAGGCTCTCTGTGTTCAAAACAAAAAAAACATTAAAAATGTAATCACCCAACTTGGATAAAACGATTTAGATGGAAGTGGAAGGACTCCAAGGAGGTGCAGCCACGAGCACACCAGCAGCAGCAGAGCTCCACACCACCCTTCTTCAGTGTCCCTGTCTTGAGGTGCAGAGGAAAGCCCTCTGGGTCCTACAGGCAGTATGTCTCTGCGGGTCTTTCCAGACCTGTTGAATGCACTCATGGTTCAGCAATGGTACTGCCAAAGTGTCGGGGGTCAGGAGCAGAGGCAGGAACAGGGCCTTTTGAGGCAGCAGTGGCCTGAGTGGAAAAAAATCATTTTTCATCCAAGCACCGTTAAGTCAAATACAAGAAGAAAAATGAGATAGGATCACACACACTTATCAAAGCAGTGCAAACACTGACACTACCTTACTACAACATTCTGCAGCCACTTATTCCAGGGGGAGCGGGGGACATGTTAGATGACAAGTCAGTGATTAGGATAAAAATTAAATTAAAAAAGTTCACATACACTTTTAAATTTAATAAAGAGTAAATGTAGACTGACACTCGATCAGTGCCAATTCTTTGTAAAAATAATTATATCACAGAATTATTTGTTAAACATTGTTTGGGATCTATGTACCTTGAGGAAGTTGTTCCTCAGCTTGCGAGGGCACAGTCACCATCTCGGTAGCTTACTCCCTACAAAGAAACTCCCAGAGACGCAGTGTCTGAAAAAATACAGAAATAAAGCAAGTCGCCAACAACATCATCAACTAATATGTGGGCATTAACATTGAAAGCTCACAACGGACTCAGACAGTGAGGTTGGAGGAAAGGGTTTTTGGCTGGAAGATTTTATTTTTTGTGAGGTCAAATGCTTTACCAAGTGCCAACAGTCGGACATTCACACTAAGCAGCCTGTACAGTTGGCCTCCTCTGATGTGGCAGTAGGTGGAAGTTTGGCAGGAGCAGTAACCAGTCGACAGTGGGCACAGCAGCAGCGAAAGGAGAGGGGGGCAGACACAGATGAAAGCAGGGAAGTGTGGGCTGGGGTGAAGGGGGCGCCCATGCTTTATTCAGACACACATGCCTTGAAGAAGGGCACGTGCATGTTTGGCCTGTCTTCAGGTAGGTGATGAGAGCCTGGGCCTCTTTGCTGGCATCCTCATTCACCTCCTTCATGGACCTGTCCCCGAACTCCACCATCAGACACAGAGAGTTATTGGTCCTCTGGGCCTCCTGAAGCATGCCCTGTTTTTTTCTGGTACACCTCCACAGCCTCTCCTATTCTCCATGACGGGGAGGTGTACTCGAGGGAAACAGTTGTTTACTGGCCGATCCGTGGGTGTCTCCTCTTGTTATTCTTCCCCTCCATAATGCTGCTGACCAGATAGACTGCATAGCTGAGTAAGTTCTCCAACGGCCACCGGAAGCTCTGGCCCTGCTATTTTCCAAACTGGATCTTACAGTGAACAAGAACCAGGAACTGGTCACCAGGATCCCCTCCATTCTGCCTCCTTACGCTGAGCCCTCCCTGCCACCACAATCTCACTCCTATTCGCGTCCTCAGTTGGCCCCATGAGGAACGACCCTGAGGATTTCTGCAGAACAAGGGGTGTGCATACATAATTAGAAAGGAAACAGGCATAAACACAAAGTTACTTGTATAAATATTGTTTGAGATACTCAATCATTACACTGGATTTCTGCCATTTTTACTTTCAAACTTACAAATGAGC